ATTTTTAGGTCAAAACTGAAGTTTGTCATAATAGTTATGAACGAACCATTAAAGGTATTCTAAGGGTTTTTCAGTGACTAAACTTTGAATTCTTCCAACATATAACCTTATTTTGAGGAGAGTCTCATAAATTAAAACAATTTTATGTGGATGACAGAACAATAAGTTAATTTTTGGGGCCCAAAGTAAAATTTGTCATAATAGTTATGAACGAAACAGTGTGTCATAACTGTTATGAACGAAACCTTATACTTATTCCATGTAATTTACAGTTGTTTTGGGATGTATTTTTAATTTTAACCCAACTAAAGGACAAATAGACCTTGCATACATTCTGATATTTTCATTTTTATCATAAGTGTATGGGTGTGGATTTTAATTAGTATTATACTTTTGTAGTAATGGTTATGAACGAACTATTTATAGTCCATTTTATATATTTTGAGGGCTTTTCAGTGTTAATCAACTTTAAAAACATGTACAGAGATACATATTATGAGGAGAGTTTCATTTAATTAATAAAAGTTTTAAAAAATGAATGACAGATCAAAATGTATAAATGTTTAGGTCAAAATTGAAGTTTGTCATAATTTTTATGAACGAACCGTTTTAAAGGTATTCTAAGGGTTTTTCAGTAAATAAACTTTGAATTCTACCTACATAGAGGAATCTATCATATTTTAAGGAAAGTCTCATAAATGAAAACCGTTTTTTCTGTGAAAGACAACAATATAAGTAAATTTTAGGGACCAAAAGTAAAATTTTTCATAATAGTTATGAAAGAAACAGTGTGTCATAATGGTTATGAACGAACTTTAAATTTATGCATAACATGCCCTATGACCAGTTTGTGTTTAAAAATAGCTGTTCAATGGTCTTTCATTTATCACTTGACTATAATTAGACCAGAGTGTTATCTTAGACAATTCTAGTCAATGAAACTTGACATAATTGATAGCATTTTGGTCACTCATTGTTCGTTCATAACTATTATGACACAAAAAGTAATTTTATCAAAAATTAATAAAGATTTTTATAAACTGTCAATTCTATGTATTTTTGAAAGTTATTTGCTATGTCTCAAAATATAACATCAGCCAAGCTGAAGAAAGGAACTTTGAGTATTCATAAATTTGTGTCATCATTGTTATGAACGAACTTTTTGCTATTTCCGTCATTCAAGTCAGAATTACACCAAGACCATTGCATATACAGCTTTGGCAGTTACTGAGCCTGAAAGAGCAATCATTAGGCTATATAATATGGGTGATTAAAGAATTATTACATAAAGTTGATTTTGGACCTCATTTGTCACACCCAGGTATCCCATCGTTTGGCAAATGCTCATATACATATATATATATATATATATATATATATATATATATATATATATATATATATATATATATATATATATATATGGGTGACCTTATTTAGGCCACATATGGCCTAAATAAGCTAAACCCCCCTCCCTTACCTTATTTAGGCCACACCTGTGGCCTAAATAAGCTAAACCCCCCTCCCTTACCTTATATTTAGGCCACACCTGTGGCCTAAATAAACTAAACCCCCCTCCCTTACCTTATTTAGGCCACACCTTTATACAAAGTCACAGAAATATTCCTTTTGTGCTTATTGAGGTACAGTGCAGGGTGATTTTACCTGCAAGGATAATTGGACAAAATGGGCAATATCTTTATTGCTCATGGTCATATTTAGACAAATCCTATATCATTCTCTTTTTTTTTTTCTTAACTGCTCATGGTTATTAAAAGAGTAAGCCAACTAGGTAGTAATTTTGGATTCCTAATACTAATATTATGGGCATTCTTAAAATTTTTTAACTTGTTTTTGGCGCTTTTCTCAACGTAAAACGGATTCTGTAAAAAAAAAAAAACAACAACAATGACCTTATCTTTCTTTTTCAAAGTATTGTGCATATGTTTGTGTGAAACTATATATATTCTATGCTTTCATGTACATGAAAAAAGCTAATAAAGGCAATCAAAATGTTCTTCAGAGACATAGATCTAGTAGTAGGCCCACTGGAATTTTTTATAAACCAGGAAAGATGACCCAAAAATAACAAAATTATTTTATGATCTTCACTTGCACTTGCAATTTTTTTGATAAATTATTGTCTTTTTTTCCCCCGCATTTTACTTCACTATTCATGACAACTGGCATGTATTGTTTTCAGTTATTATCAAGAAAGTGGATTGGCGGACTACGGTGCCTATTTAGCCAAAAGGATAGGTGGACCCCGGGGTCTGCCTAACAAAATGCTAGGTTTTAGGATGTGAACCCCGGAGTCAGCGTAGTGAAATAAGTAGTAGATCTAAGTTTAACTAAGGATCGGTGGACCCAGGGGTCAACATAGTGAAATAAGTAGATCTCAGTTTTTTTTATAGTAGGACTGGCGGAGCGCGTGGTCAACGTAGTGAAATTATAAGTAGATATAGGTTTAATTGGTGGACCCCGGGGTCAACATAGTGAAATCAGTAGATCTAGGTTTAATTAAGGATTGGTGGACCCTGGGGTCAATGTAGTGAAATAAGTACATGTAGATCAAGGTTTAATTTTAAGGATTGGTGGACCCTGGAGTCAACATAATGAAATAGGTAGGTTTAAGGTGGACCCCAGGGTCTACCTAACGAAATACTAGTTAGGTTTTTAGAATAGGTGGAACCTGCGGTCACCGTAGTAAAATAAGTAGGTTTAATCAAGGTGTCCCGGGGGTCCACCAATCCTTAATTAAACCCTCTTATTCCTCTACGGCTATGGTGACTCCGGGGTCCACCAATCCTTTTAAAATTAACCCTACTTATTTCACTACGGTGACCCCAGGGTCCACCTGTCCTAAAACCTAGTATTTCGCTAGGTAGACCCCGGGGCCCGGGGTCCTCCTTAAACCTGCTTATTTATCACTATGTTGACCCCGGGGTCCACCAATCCTTACTTAAACCAAACCTTATTTCACTACGGTGACTCCGGGGTTCACATCCTAAAACCATGTATTTCGCTCTGCAAACCCCGGAGTCCACCTATCCTCTACAGGACTAAATTATTATCAATTTTCAATTTTCATTGATTAGCATATTTTTTTAAAATATTGAATCAGAGACCCGCTGTCTAAAAAGTCCACTGCTAATGCTATTCTTTTCAAAGAAAATGGCACAATTTGATTTTATGACATGTTTAAAAAAAGAGTTTTAAAAATATCCCGAAAATAACATAAAATGATTATATAGATCTCTCTCTCTCTCTGTCTCTCTCTGTCTCTCTCTGTCTCTCTCTCTCTCTCTATATATATATATATATATATATATATATATATATATATATATATATATATATATATATCATATATATATATATATATATACATATATGTGTGTATATTTTATTATGTATACTAAAAGACTGAGCAGAGGCTTACAATGTAAATTCTGTGCTCTACATGTAGAGAAAATCTTAAGTTTGCGCAAAACAGATTTTAGAAAAAAAGTTGGATCTAATTATTCTAATAAAAGTAATTGTTATGCTGAGATTTGTTATTATTGACTCTGGAACTGGAAATACAGTTACTTGCTGAATCTAAAAGTAACTAGAACTGTGCAATTCGTTTTATTTCAATTCCAAAGCCCAAAGGCATAGCAATAATAAGTTAGATCTAGATCTAGCAGTTGTAGACTCTCTGGCTGCTTCTAGCATAGGCCTGCTACTACTGATTCTAGACAGGGAATCTAGATCTTGCTATCGCCTGCACTATTAAAGTCAAATATATGGTAAAATAAAAACAAAACTGGATTTTTTGTCAGTCAGTACATCCCAATTGCCATAGCCGCACGTATTAATAGTTGAATAATGCGATACCGAAGCAACACGTCATCACAGTGTGCAGGGGAGAGAGCGAGGTGCCCGGTCGATTCGGTGGTTCGGCTTTTGTAGATCTATGCATTTTTTACGGAAAGCCCTATTATGAGATCTATTAGTGTTGTGAAAACTTCAACCTCTACAGCTCAGGCGTCAAAAGATGCTGAAAAATAATAATACGTCCTGAAGTTTCATAATTTATTTTTATACAGAACAACACAGTACACAGCCAGTAGTTTTTATTTCATCGAGTTATAAAAATAGCCTTCGTATAAAAATTGCCTTGTTCTCAGAAGCAAATTTTAATAGTTCTAGTTCTACCGAATCGATTTTCACGCGAATTCAACCATTTTGATGATCTTTCTTTTCCTTTTAAAAAGATGTAGATCTAGGCCTGTCGGATGTGGCAGTGCGAATAACACTGAGTTGTTTAGATCTAGATCTAGACCCATCAAAACACGAGGCTTCGTGGCCGATCAAAAAAGTCTACGGGGCTTATCGAGGCCGATTCGCCCTGCCGCAAGCACGTTCACTAAACTGCCTACTAGATAGAATCTACTACCAAATATATTCCCTACACGATCTTTGCTACTACCAATGATAGTACATAAACTAGGCCTACTAGCCTACATGTACTACTACGAGACTGTACGAGAGAGTGTCACTCAGGCAAAGATAGTGTAACTTTGACTCAGCCACGTAGTGTACACACTTTTTATACCCCAAATTTAAGGCATGATGCGGGGGAAGGCCATGATCAAATGACATCATTTTTTAGTCTTAGATCGAAATTGGGCTTTTAACGGATTCGAGTACTTTGAAATGTCTACTTTCACAAAATGAAGGTCTTATGTCCCTGTCAGCATCAGAACATGTTCAAAAACGCTCACAAACATGACACCCCCCACCCCCCTTTCCTGCACGCAAAAAAATGACGTTTTACCCTAAAACACCAAGCTGGCGGAATAATAAATAATATATTTGAGGTTGTAGATGGAAAAAGCTGACGTTGCACCCAATAGCACTAATAGAGAATGCAAAAAAGTTGCGAAAACTTCCGCTCTAAAGAATACGTTAATAATTGCAAAAAGCATCCCGCAGTTTGATTTTTGTTGTTGAAAATCTACGGAAAATTTTGAGTTGCGCGTTGATAAACATGGCACGAAAACGATGAGAGAAGTATCAGAGTCGCCGTCATACACCAAGAGGGCACAAAGGTGGAAGAAAGCGACTAGAAGGTCAACAGGCTGAGAATTTTAATCTACTTTGAGTGAACCAGAGAAACAGCAGTGTCGACAATGATGTGCGACGGCATGCTGAGTGTGACAATACCAATGTAGATGAAAAGTAAGTGGAACGATGTATCACATCCAAAGCTCTGTCTCTCTCTCTCTCTCACTCTCTCCTCTCTCTTTCTCTCTCTCTCTCACACTCTCTATCTACCTATCTCTATCTATCTACCTCTCTCTCTATCGATCTATCTCTCTCTCTAGATTTTCTATGTGTGTTTGTGTGTGTGAGTATATTTGTGAGTGTGTGCGTTTGTGTGTGTGTGTGTGTGTGTGTGTTTGTCTATCTGTGTGTGCGTGTCTGTGTGTCTGTCTATGTGTGTTTGTGATGTGTTTTCCGAGGGTCAGTCATTCGTTCTTTCATCCTTGCTATTTCCCAGTTGATAATGTATACACGTAGAAACAGGGTTGATACTGCAATTATCTTTTTCCTTCCTTGCAATTGAAAGTGCAAACGACAGCTGTGAACTAGAGCTTTCAATACTATCGCTTGGTCTCAATATCTGAGTGACTCCTTATTGTTTTATTTTCTCCTGTCTGCCTTATTTTCTTCTGTTCCAACACAATTTTGCCTGTTTCCGTATAATACAGATTTTGTACAGAACAATTTTTTTGTTCAAAAAATCTTGAGCCAGTAATAAAAAAAGTTTTTCACTTTGGGCCCTATATTAAAAACCACTCTTATTGATGCATAGACAGGATCACTAAAATAAATGACTTACAGTTACAGCAACCTAACATACACATTGCTCATTTTGAGACAGCGACATCGCCCTGTCCCCACATTTCAGTGCAAGCTTGTAGATTTTATCCCCCAACTGTCTGGACGTCTCCACGTGCTTCAAGTGAGTCTCGAAAATTACTCTCGCCGTCTCTTGAATCGCGTTTCTTAGGCGAACGTTGAACTGTGGTGTTCGAGAAAATATTATGACAATTTTTATGCTTAAGGAGTATGCTGTATATCCCTTATTATATTTTTGACCCGCTTTAGGCTTACATCAAATAAAACGTGTCGGAACCTTAGTTTGCAGTGACCTTTAGAAATGGGCTTTTAGATTCTGTTGGTCATCCAACTTTTAGACTCGTATGCAATGATCTGAGAAGATTAAACTGAGCGTTTTCATTTTGTTTTGTTTCAACGGCGGTCAGACGAAAGTGAACAAGTTATAATGTCTTACATTGTTTTGTTCCAGCCTCATACTTCCTCCCCCAGCAGCCTTCTTCCCCCAGCAGCCTTCGCGGATGCTGATGCAAGCGTGTCTCACCAACGAGGTGAAAGTACTGTTTCAACACTGCCCCTTTTTCAACAATCATCCTGCTCGAAAAATGGTTCGTTGGACATTCTTCCTGTATGTGTTGATGCCCTAACCTCAATGTCTCAACAATCACCACAGCCTTCTGCCACGACATTGACTTTCTCGGACACAGCACAGTACGATTCGAATATAGCTGGGCCTAGTAGTTTAGGTAGTGGGATCTTCAGGTATAGTGATGGAACATCAAGTGAAAGTGATAACGACAGTAGTGAAGAGGAAATTTTGGATGAGGATGGACGTGCTCCTGATCCCATTGCCAGAAAAAAAAATTCACTAATGAGGAAAGTTACAAAAGTAGGCGACAATGAGGGATATGCACTTTTTCATTGGTCATTTCTAACTGAAATTATTGCACTGCTTGCATGCCCACGATGTAAGAGCTGCAGTTTGTCAGTTTGTTCTGATTACAAAGGTGGACTTATGTGGAGGATTATAGTTTCGTGCTCTGTGTGTGAGGAGGACATTTTTGTAGGAGGCTCTTCCCCGGGAGGAAAGCAAAAAGATATAACCAAGCGACTTGTTTTAGCTAGTAAAGAGTGTGGGCTTGGATATGAAGGACTTTGCAATTTTTTTTCAATTTTAAACATAAACAAGCCGTTGCATCATAAAACCTACCAGGAAACATCCCAAAAGATACACGCAGCTGCAACCCAGGAAGCCGAAAAATGCATGAAAACGGCTGCGAAGAGTGTTTCAGAAACGTCTACAGTTATAAATCCTGGTCAAACAAGAGTGCCAGCAACTACGATTTCATTTGATGGGACCTGGCATAAAAGGGGTCATTCTTCCCATTTTGGTGTTGGTGTGGTTATTGACTGTAAGACAGGTTTCGTCTTAGATTACCAAGTCCTCAGTAACTATTGCCATGGATGCGAGGTAGGGTTAAAATCTGGAGATGAACAGTATTTGCTTTGGAAAAACAAGCATCAATTAAAATGCCAGCAAAATTTTCAAGGAAGCGCAAAAGCAATGGAGGCTGAAGCAGCAGTAACAATATTCAGAAGATCAGTCCAGCACCGTGGTCTTGTGTACAGCAGGATGCTGTGTGACGGAGATGCCAGATCTCACCAGTTGATCAACACAAAAGGAATATACGACTTTGAAGTCATAAAAGAAGACTGTATTAATCACATCAGCAAACGTAGGTTCAACGCCCTAGAGAATACCAAAAACAGCAACAAGAAAGAACTGAACAGAAAACTCACGAAAACAAAGATAGAAAAAATCACCAACACATATGCAACAAACTTAAAGCAGAATGCACCCGACACAGAGCAAGTGCAGAGTGATGTCTATGGTGGAATTTACCACATGCTCAGCACCGACGACAACCCACAACACCATCTCTGCCCCACTGGCATCAGTTCATGGTGCCACTTCCAACGAGCCTTGGCAACGAAAGAAGAGCCGCGCAAGCACACACCAACCATAACAGAGGATGTTGCAAAATTTGTGTGGCCAGTTGTGGAGAGACTGACTCGACCAGATGTTTTAAAACGATGTGTGTCCATGCAAACGCAAAATGCCAACGAGTGCTTTAACTCTTTGATTTGGTCACGCTGCACCAAAACTCGATTCGCGTCGTTGCGGTCTGTCGAAACGGCAACAGCTCTCTCAGTCTTGGCGTTTAACTGTGGTCCTTCTGGGCTCTTCGCCGTTTTGGAAGCCTTGAACATTCCAGTAGGAGGAAGCCACCACAAGCACCAAGCCAGGAAAACCGGTAACAAGCTAAAGAGTGCCATGAAGTGCAGGAAACGTGCATCAAAATGGGGTCGCAAAGACCAAAAGGGACAGCGACTCCAGCTTGAGAAGAAGAGACAGCAAGAAGAGGGTGATCTGTATGAAGCAGGGGCCTTCAATCTGTGAACCGTCATAGTGGACGAGACATCTTAGCATCATTTTGATGTCAGTAGATTCATGTTCAGTACAATTTTATGTAAAGGACCGTGTATCCATTTATGTATTTTTCAAATTGCATTGTGTATATTATTTTATTATGTATGTGTATGTGCTCATTTAGTAGCGATGAGTAAACGTGCGCGTGTGATAAGCAAGTAGGTGTGTGTTTGTGCGTGTGTGTGTGTGTGTGTGTGTGTGTGTGTGTGTGTGTGTGTGTGTGCGTGTGCGTGTGTGTGTGTGAGTGGGGGGGGGGGGGGTGTTGTGCATGTGTGGGTATATGTGTGCGTGTAATGTGTGCGTGAGTGTGTGGGTTGTTTGTGTTTGTATGTGCGTGTGTTAGTGTGTGTGTATGAGTGTGTGTGTGTGTGTGTGTGTGTGTGTGTGTGTGCGTGTGTGTGTCGCGTGCGTGAATATTGTTCGTACATGCATTAACGTAAAGCGCCTAGAGATGTGTTTACACGGGAGTGGGCGCTGTAGAAATGATCTTCATTATAATTATTATTATATCTAAGCCATTGAGAGTAATAAATGTGAGCGTATGACTATTTTATTTCAATACGTTTTGCAAGCCAAAATTTTGACGTCCATTTTCTCAAATTAAATTTTTTGAGGGGGTCGCAATCGGAAAAAATCTATCATTCGAAAAGTATTTAAGGTATCTACCTAATTTTTGGTACATTGATAGCTGAAACATTATTCTAGTGAATAAAGCTCTGAGTTTTTAAAAAGAAAAAAAAAATTAAATATTTTTATTACAGATTTTATCAGCTGCCACTCTCCATCTTTTTTGTGGTTGAAATGTTTCCCTAATTTGAACCTTGATTCTGAAAAACTTTCTTTTCCTACATCAAAAATGCCAGTTTTATCCACTAAAACAGCCACAGTATGCTACAAAATCGCATAAAATACCCATTTGGTGCCATTTATAACCTTATGATAGATTTTTTAGAAATGTATACATTTTCTGTATATGACATTCCAATATGGCAGCCGTTACCATAGCAACACAAAATTTTTTTTAAAATTTTACTTCTGGCCCAATTCTCCACTCTATTTATGTTGATGCTACCATATTTGTAAGCTTAGTTTCTTCTTATTAATGAATTTCAAAATTTCCCCCGCATCATGCCTTAACCTGGAAGTCCATTCGGAGGATTTGACCTTTTCACTTGACCAAAGTGTGCCAAAATGGTAGCCTAGCTTTTGCCCCTCCATGAAGGAAAAGTCTGGCCCTCATTCAAACCATTGGGATTGAGCAAAATTTTGCGTATTGTGCTTTGTTCTTTACAATATTCACTATGATTATGATTTATAAGTTATACACTGAGACAAAACCGTACTAAAAGAGAAAGGTGCACCATTATGAAAGTGGAACGAACTCAGTTGCCTGAAAAGGGTAGTTTGAGCATGTGTGGCCTAAATAAGCTAAACCCCCCTCCCTTACCTTATTTAGGCCACAGTCCACTGTGGCCTAAATAAGCTAAACCCCCCTCCCTTACCTTATTTAGGCCATATGTGGCCTAAATAAGCACTCCCTATATATATATATATATATATATATATATATATATATATATTCTGACACAGAAATCTATTTAATAGAACAATCTGCTGGTCAACATAAGCAAAAATCAGCAGTGAAGTTACCAGCATGCAGGAATCATTGAGTAATATTTCTTACAAAATAAAAAAGCATATCTCGGACAAACAATTTTCCAAAGAGAGTCATTTTTAGGAACAGTTTAGAACAAAAGTTTAAAAAACAATACCCAGCGCACAGTGCGGATCAGACCAGATCAGTTTAATTAAACATCTATTTGATTCAAATAATAATAATAATAATAATAATGAAGATAGATAGATGGATAGAAATAGAAATAGATAGCATTTGTATAGCAGAACTTTTCATTCTACAGCAAGCTCTATATGCTTTACAATCTATAATATTACTACCCCAGCAGACCTGATAGCATTCCGAAACAATCTCAACTCCCTGAGAAGCATACAGCGTAAGCTGCCATTTCATAGGCGCTAAAACTCTAACAGTGTATACTGATGAGATCTTTTGCTGTCTCTGGTCAGTTACCCATTCCTACCTGGGTGAAAAGGGAAATTTGTGTAAATAAGTGCCTTTCCCAAGGACACAACAACAGGCCTGACGCTTGAACCCCTGAAATCGCAATCTGCTGATTAGGGGTCCGGTAGCCTTACCACTAGACTACCGATGCCATATTTGAGGGTGGCCATGTTTTCCTTCAAGAAGCGACAAAAGCTACAATTTTGGCACAATTTGATACAATCCTTCAAAATCTTTTCCATGCATGCGGAAAAGTCAAATTTGACGATGTAAGACCCATTTAATATTTAAGCTGCCATTAATCGATCCAATCTGATCCCATCATGTGAATTGTGTCCATTTGTTGATCGTAGAGCATTTGTTACAAGTTCCCCCCTCATTTAATTATTTTCTTAATTAGAACAAAATGCGGGTACCTACCGTAGTCAACTGTCCCAGACCCTGAGGCCATGCATTCTTGTTTGGATCATTAGGATATGAATGAATTGGGCTGCGATCTCCATGACGGAAAACCTGCGTCAAGAAATTATATTTCAAAGAACAGAATTAATCACCTCATTAAAATAAAACAGGGTCACATTTGTGAAAATAAGAAGTGTCTCAGGTGGAATCAATCCCAAGACATTTTGTTTCTCAAAACAAAATATACTCAAACCTGTTCAAACAGCCACTTGTCCGAGACAATCATCTGTTTAAATAACAACTTTTCATATTTCCCCTTGCCTTTTTTTATACATAGCATCATTTTTTGCCCTATTCTGTGCCTTTAAGTTGACATGACCCCAGCACAATGGAGGTCCCCGACTTGGGGTCTTCAGAGTTAATGAGCACTGAAGCAACTTTGCCGGTGTGGGTTAAGAAGTTTGTACTTTTGGCAACTTTCGAAACGATGTATATGTACTGAAAACTAAATATTTCGAGACTTATTCTTTGTTGGAATGGGTTTTTTCTGTGTCTAGTTTTTGTTCTAGACCAGTGTTTGTAGAGTACCCAGTTTGTCCTAGTTTTAGTTACTTGATACTTTTGAAAGAATTATGAAAGTTTATTTAACACCAACTCAATACAAATCTCTCAAAAATTTGTCTTTAACTATTTTCATGTTGTTTAACGTGATAAACATTGAATCTGCACAGAAAGCAATAGTCAAGTAATGAGAAGAAAGATGCACACCTGCATTTTATGACAATATAATGTATATATATATATATATATATATATATATATATATATATCGTTGGCCTTGTGATAAAACCGGCTAACCCCAGCGAGGTAAATTTTACAGGAGAAGGAAAAAACTGTTTTATTTCAAAACAAAGGCGTCTAACGATAAATCAATGCTTTAAACACCTATAAAAACACTTTACCGAAAATCTGTAGAACTTTTTTTCCTTTAAAAATTGCTTTTAATGAAACTGTGTGGGTTAGACGGTTTTGTCGCTCAAATTTTCCTGGATAAAACCGACCAACCCTCAATTTTGTGGGTTGACCGGTTTTATCAGGAAGCCACTGCTGGCCGTGAGTTTGGTTGAGTGCAGCCAAGCCACACTTGACGGTAACGTATTTGATCACTTGCTTCAATCGTCAAGATCTTTTGTAGAAGAAGAAGAAGAAGAAGAAGAAGAAGGAGGAGGAGGAGGAGGAGGAGGAGGAGGAGGAGGAGGAGGAGGAGGAGGAGGAGGAGGAGGAGGAGGAGGAGGAGGAGGGGGGGAAAAAAGAAGGAGGAGGAGGAGTAAGAAGAAGAAGAAGGAAGAGGAGGAGGACTATATTATTGCTACCAACATACTATCAGCTGCTGCCATTTCAGTGCTACGGAGTCAATTCGGGCAAAAACAGCAGTCACAAAGTTTAACCTTTAATAGAAGTAGAAGAAGCAGAACACAGCAATGGGTATATTAATTACATTTAAAGTAGAAGAACAGGAGGTTGGAAGGGTAAGGGAGAACAGCTACAGCAACAACTACAAAAACAACAACTACAACAACAAAAACAACAGTAGTAGCAGCAGCAGCAGTAGGCCTTTAGAATTTATAACCGTGTCCGACACGGTACTATTGGCAATGGGTGGCCATTCAAAGGCCTGGAAAAAAGTAATACTAAGAAAGAAATGAAAGCAGAAAGCCACACAAAAGCTCTGCTACCTCGGCAATGGTTTGGGAGAAGTTGGTTACATAATGATATATCATTATTATACAAAAAGACTTTGTGAGTACCAAAGAATGCGCCAGCTTTCTCCAAGTGTGTGGCTTGACAACTACTACTTTATTTAAGAGTTTTCTCGACGACAGAAGAGCATGTCTGTCTCACTCTGTGTCCTATGGCTACAACAAGGCAATACGACAAAAGTTACCATTGTTTTGAAAGACTCTACTATAATCGAATTTGGCTTGATCGCTTTCAAAACTTATTACTGAGGCAAAGTTTCATGGTAATTGTGGTAGCATCGTGGTACGACGGCCTTCAACTCAAGTAGATGTTTATACTGGTTGGCAGTTATCTTCAATCTGTCTTTGCAGAGAGGTCCAGCAGTAACCGTCGTATACACATGGTGTTCAGCTTTCTTGGTCCCTGCAGCGCCTGCCATCCATCATCAAAGTTCAGCTTGTACTGACTTTTAAAGACTGGAGTGTACTTTGATGCCTGCAAGTCAGTGACAGTAGGATCGCCTGCTTTTCTCCCTGGACGGATTGTTTAGTGCTCTCCGACCTTTGCGAAATCTTTGAAAAAGCTGTGGTCCAGGAACATAACTTCATAGGGCCTGGGGATGCGTCTGGCTTTGAGCATGATGTTCACGTAGTCCATTGGGATGTACATCAGTGCGTTTTTTAGCGATCGCTCAATAGTGCCATGGACTGAATCCACTTCCATTTGGGTAGGGCCCTTGGGAAGAATTTCTGCTCAACTGTGATGTCAAGCTCTTTGGCCAGCGAGGCCATTGCACTCACCAGGGTGGCTTTCTGTTTTAGTAGTTGCGCCAATCACTGCAGATGATGAAGTGGT